GGATTGGCTGGCTGCTTCTATGCATGTTGCACCATGATTGGTGGGTTGTGGTAGAATTGCTATGGACTCTGCTGCAATATCGATCCCCTCTGCACCTTGGAGTTGGGTCTTTTCTATGGATATTTTCCCTCTGCTGAACAAGCATACAAAACTTACTAGCAGAGCCAGTACTGTGTTTGTATCAGCAATGTGCCAATGCCCAAGGACTGGGACTGGGTTGTGAGGCAAAAAAAACCCACAACCCTGCCAGGGTACTCTTTAGAGGGACAAATTACATTATTAGGAAAGGAATAAAACATTTATAAACCTACCTTTCTCCCAGGAAACTGGGGGGGGTAAAAGCAATTAACCAATACTAACAACAACAAAAAATAGTAAAATAACCAGCAACAATACATTTTGAAAAGTCCATGCAGTTGCGTTTGGAAGTCATCCTATGAGCCAAAAATCCTTCTAAAAAGTTCAACTCTTGCATCTGCTCTGAAACCGCAGAAGGGATGTAGATCTTCTAATGTCCTCTGGAAGACTGTGCCCCAGCATTGCAGCAGCTACCAGCGGTCACTGCGGGTGTGGAGGGGGAGGTATCTGTGAATTTCCTGCGTTGTGCAGCGGGGTGGACTAGATGACCCTGGAGGTCCTTCCAACTCTCTGATTTTATGGGGGGGGGGGAAGCCTGATATTGGGCTGTCATCAACTGCTTCCACATGGGAATTTCCCCCTGCATGGAGAGCTACTGCCCCCACATTTTTTGGGAGCTTCCACACTGAACGAGTTGTGGGGCTCCTCCTCTGATATGATTCAAACAGGGAAATGCAGAGTGGAGCAAATGGAGCTTCCTTATGGAACTTCTGCCTGCAGTCCATCAGGAGAGGGGGTGAAACTGAGCTCTACTCCCCCCCCCCAGCCCCACTGCTTCCACCGTGGGAGTGATTTTTTTAACACCTACTGGAAGCAGCCATTTTTCATACCCTTGCAGGAAGTGAACAGGATTCTAACTTCAGTTTTTCTGAAAATTTTAGAGTTTTGGTCCATTGCTTTTTTAAATGTTGCTTACACTACACTGCTTTCTAATCTTGTAATCCCGTTTTTAATTTGTATTGTTTGTAGTATGTATTGCAATGTTTTATCATATTATTTATTGCAAGCTTTGTACTTGACTGACAGCCAAGTGGCATGGCAATTGCTCCTGGGGAGGAAAAGTCCAATAAAGGAGTTAAGATCTTGACATGAATCAGTTCTCCTAAGAAGCTGAAGAGTTCTGATTACAGACAATTTTGGGGGGCCCTTTCAGTCACTATGGTTTTGGGGCTCCTACTCTGCATTCTGAATAAGCGCAGTATGTGTGATCCTCTCGATGTGCAGATGCCATTTTGTTGAGTAGGACAACATATGTATTTTCCAGTTTTGGTGTGCAAGATCAGAAATCTAAACATTATTTGTAATTGCAGGTAAAAGGTAAAGGTTTCCCTTGCTCGAAAGCCAGTCAAATCCAACTCTAGGGGGCGGTGCCCATCTCTGTTTCCAAGCTGAAGAGCCAGCGCTGTCCGAAGACATTTCCTTGGGCATGTGGCTGGCATGACTAAACACCAAGGCGCACGGAACACTGTTACCTTTCCACCGAAGCAGTACCTATCTATCTACTTGCAGTTTCTTGCTTTTGAACTGCTAGGTTGGCAGGAGCTGGGGCTGGAGATAGGAGCTCACTCTGTCATGTGGCACTAAGGTCTCAAACTGCCGATCGACAGACCTTCTGGTCTGCACCTCAGCGTCTTAACCTCTGAGCCACCGTGCAGGTACCATAGTGGAAAAATATTTTTAAAATTTAATCAGAAAACTATGTGTGTGGCTCTGTCCACCTGGAATAGTAACTGCACCTGTCAAGAGGATCCAGGGCAGCATGCTCTCCCAGTATCCAAGAAAGGAATGGCCAGATCCTCATGGCTGAAAAGGGCTTTCCCATGGCATCAATGCATTTGGCAGTAAGGAGCAAAGGTGATATATTTTGCGACAACATCCTCAGCTTTGGTCTCTTAAAGCCAATTGCTTTGTCTTCCTTTTTAATTGTCCACAAGAGCCAGGAGGGCCCATTCTGTCTGAGACTTTTGTGAAGACAGTTTTTCCCCCTGAGGGGCCAGGAGCATGTATCTTCCTTGACTCGGTTGCAGGTAGCTCCAACCATCTTCCAGAGAAACTAGAAAGAGGCAGCCATTCCACCATGCTGGAAGAGAGCAGTAATCTCAACTAATGTTAATGTAGTTTTCCTTTTAGTATATTGTTTTGATAGCTTTTTAGTTGAAGCATGTCTAGTAAATTAAATAGATTGCTCCCTCTTTCGACCCAAAGTCCACACCAGTGCTTCTCACATACCTGAGGAGGGCACTGGTAAAATTTAAACTTATCTGGAAACCCTGCACCTCAGGTATGTGAGAAGCATCCTGTGCAGCCTCAGAAGTGTAGAATAGTATTTTACTCCTTACTGGTTAATTCACATCAATATATCTAATTTTCAGTGTGGCCCCAGGAGTGGCTAGGACCCAAGCACAGACTAACCAGATCTCTCTACAAACCTGAGAAAAACTTAGGTTTGCGTAAAGATCTTAAAGCTGGGGGAAAAACACACTAGTGGTGGTGGTTACCCTCCCCCAATAATAGAAGGTACCTGTAGCCTTCAGTAGTAATGGGGGGTTGCTAAGCAACCATAACATTACCAACCTCCAAGCCTAGGGTTCTGCCCCCAACAGGCAGGGCATTTTCAAGGGCTGTTTTGTCCTTTGAGGGATGACTCATAGAGGCCATGTGACCTGGATGATTCAGCCAAGCCTGGTGGCTTGCTATTATGCAACAACAGGCACTGCATGAAAGCCAGTGGGAGACCAAGGTCTGAAACCTCTTTCTGCCATGAAAGCTTTCTGGGCTAGTCACACAGCCTCATCTACTTCACAAGGTTGTTCTGAGGATACAGCGGGAAAGAACAGAATGCTGTAAGCCATTCAGGATTCCAGCTGGGGAGGAAAGTGGGGTATAGATGTAAATAAATAATAAATATAGGTGAAGATAGGGGACCGATAAAAGCTGGGTATGAAAGACAGAAAGAAGCAGGAAAAGGGAAGAATATGTGAAGGTTGCCAAGAGAAGGAAAAGAGAAAATAGTGTGGGAAGGGGAATACAGGGGAGAATGCCCCCTCTCACAAGTTCTTGCGTATCCCTTGCTTGTATCCATACTTGTTTATATTTTGCTTCTCAGACAGAGTCCTGCAGCTACATGTGTGAACAACAGGGCTTTTTTTCTGCGGGATGCGCCAGAATGGCATTCTGGAACCTCCTCGACAAAATTCTTTTAAAAATGTTAAAAGGTCCATGAGTTTTCAGTATACAGATTGAAAACTTCATTTCCTTCTTCAGAGTTCTGGCACCTCTTTTTCAAAAGAAAAGAAAAGCAAAAAAGCAAAAAAAAACCCCACCCTGATGAACAGTCTGTGTTGACACAAGTTTTGTTCCAATACCACAGTGCTAAGCTCGGTGATACTTGCAAACCATCCTTTATTTTGCAGTTTCGACTCAGCTGTATCCATTTACACATATTCCTACAAGTGTAATAGAATACAATTTCACATAAAACCACAACAGTGCCCGGATAGGTGCAGGGGAGATAAACATCCTCTGAAATGTGTTATGATTTCTAATAGTAGTATAGTATAATAGAATTGTATTTACAGGGCCGGCCCCAGCTTATTTTGCACCCTAGGCGAGGATCCCTTCTGGCGCCCCCCCCCCCCGTGCGCCCACCAATTTTCAAAAATAAATGCATTTTAGGAAGAATGAAAAACACAAATAATTAAGAAACTCCCAGAGTATGGGGCCGGGTTCAGTTTGGCGCCCCTAAGGGCCTTCCTGCTCTAGGCGACCGCCTAGTTTGCCTAGTGAGTGAGCCGGCCCTGAGTATCGTGTCACAAGAGCCTGTACACAGTAAACCAATACTATCTTTTTTCATAAATAAAATGTGTCTTGCGAAGTCCTGAGGAGACGCAGCGTTCTCCCCAGCGATTCTAGAGATCTTGCCCATCCTGGATGTAGCCCTACAGCTGTTTTCCCTGCAGATGTGTAGGCGTAAAACACGCGGGCTATGATTTACCTGAGAGTATTTATCAGTGACATTTTCTTCTGAGTCAGCGCGCGTAGGACGGGATGTAAACCATCGCAATCAACCTTCCTCCCACTTTCACAGATACTCTCCCAACAAGACCTGAACACCGGCACGCCCTTTTATTTTAGGGGTCCAGTTCTTCTTCGCACGGTTAGGCGCGCCTCCAGCCCCACTGATTCCAAAGGGCTTCGGAGCTCTCCTAACTCTGCAGGGAATCGGATGACGTAAAACTCCAGCCACAAGTGCCGTTCGGAAGGTCGCGCGGAGCTCAATGGGACTCCTTTCCCGAGCAACCCCTGTGGAGGAGTGGTGCAATGCTCCCTCTAAGCTGTGGCATCCTGTGAGCAAAAATTCTACTTTGTGAGCTACCAGCATTAAAGTTGCGAGCAGGCGAGTGATTTGGATACTGCATAAATTAAATTTGCTCTGGACTGGAGCCATCCTTCCCGAGCTAAGACAAAAATGTGTGAGCCGGAGAGGGTAAAAACCTGTGAGCTAGCTCACACTAACTCAGTTTAGAGGGAACACCGGTAAAGGGGCGCCGCAGCATGCGAGGTAATTAGGTGTCCCCCTTCCAGCCAAAACCCGACGATGCTAGGCGCGCCTGACCTTGCGCTGGACTGCAAGCCCCCTCCATGGGACTCTCTTTATTCTTCCTCCGACACGACTGAACCTCGCCTCGCTCAGAACCTCCTCCCCGCGCCCTGCGAGAACTTCCTAAGGCCCACGGGGACGGCCCGGCCCCCCGGCTCGCTCATTCGCCGGCCCTGGCTCCGGAGCGGCTGGCCCCGCCTCTCCGTCCCTCCCTGCCTTCCTCGCTCGCTCCGTGTCGCCCTCCGCCCGCTTCCCTCCCATCCAAGATGGCGGAGAGCCTGCCAGAGCATGAGCGGATCCTGCAGGAGATTGAGAGCACGGAGACGGCCTGCGTGGGACCCACCCTGAGGTGAGCGAGCCGGGGCGGGAGGGGCAGGGCAGACCCCCGCCCTTGGGCGAGAAGAGCCGCTGCACGTGGCTCCCCCCCCTCCAGTGGATCCAGCTTCAGGGCAGGGGCACTGGCAGCGAGCAATGACAGCTCCTCCCAAGGCGCACGCACACGGACTGCGGGGAGCAGCAACCTCTGTAGCGAGGCGCCCCCTCCGTGTCAAACTGGGGGGAAGGGGTTCCCCCCCCTAGCCTCTGGCTCCTCCTGCGGAGACCCCTTGCCCTTCCCATCGTCGTGGGGAGCAGTGCTGCTGGCCCTCCGTCGTCACCCTCTGGTTGCACGCCTCACCCAGGTGCTGTAGCTGTTTGGGTCTTCTGAAAAGGGGTTTTTGGCTCCTCCTGTGACAGTTTTCTAAAGGCAGGCAAGGTAGCACCAAGGGCTGGCGCCACCAGAGAAAAGGCACTTGTGTGGAGGGCAGGGCCTGGGGGGGGGGGTCTCAAGCTCTTGGTTTTTGTATGAGTTGTCTCTTTAGGGAGTTGTCAGAGGAACCAGAGGAACAGGGAGAATCTTGCAGAAGGGATAGACGACCTGCCTGAGCACAAATGAAGAATTCCCTTTGTTGCTACAACTGAGATTATTTGGTATCAGTCAGAAAACTGGGGAGAGGGGACTGTGAAGGGGAAAGTAATTTTGTGAGTCCCCAATCCTTCTTTTCCTTTTTGACATTTGGAAGGCTAACAGGCCCTGGTTCCTTCAACTGGATAAAACAATTGTGCATTATAGGTGAAAGAGCATAGGTTTTTGTGTTAGAGCCGTGGTATGGGATCATAGAGGTGTATGTATTTTGGGATCTGTCAAACTCAGTGGGTGTGTCTAGCTACTGAGGTACTTACTGGACTTGTAAATCAGCTTCTTGGAAGGGTGATCTCTTTGAGCCCTGGCTGTTTTTTTTAGCTATAACATCTTGATCCTAACAATGAGGTTTAAAGTACGCATCAGTGTGGTGGTGTTCCTGATGAAGCAAGTGGAGCAAGCCTGTTCTAATTATTATTCATTGCTACACTATCAGGTGGGCAGATCCTTGAAGAGAGGAGCATCTCATTAGTGGCTAGGAGACTTGATTGTGATGCTCGTTGGCCTCCATCCCGCCCATCCATAACACACCTTTCTTTCATGTATCATGGAATAGTTTTGCATGATAATCAAGTGAAACATTGGTTGTTCATGGATATTTCCCAATGCACTTTTCTGACACTTATCTGGACAGCTCTCTAGATTCTAATGCTACATCCATGTAAAAAAAAATCGTTGTTCCCTGTCTTCAGTGCTTTTGTTATTGCTGTTATATGGAGTACTTTTTGAGCAGGTCTCTGGACTGACTTCACAAACCCTCAGTACCTGAGGAAATACTAAAGCACAAATAATTTTCTTTTTCAAGGGAGGTAATTGTCCATGTGCATGCTCACATGGGCCTGACCTGGGTAGCCCAGGGTAGCCCGATCTTTTCAGATCTCAGAAGGTAAGCAGGGCCAGCCCTGGTCAGTAATTTGGGTGGGAGACCTCCAAGGAATCCCAGGGCTGTGATGCAGAGGCAGACAATGGTGAACCATGTCTGAACGTCTCTTGCCTTGAAAACCCCACAGGGTTGCCTTAAGTCAGTTGTGACTTGAGGGCAAACCCCCCCCCCCCAACACACATGGGACTTCAGTGTATTTTTTTGTTGATGTATTACATTTTTATCCCACCTTTCCTCCAAGGAGCTTGGGGTGGGGTATGTGGTTCTTTTTGCCTTCATTTTATCCTCCCAGCAACCCTGTGAGATGGGTTAGTCTGAGAGAGAGTGACTGGCCCATGGTCACCCAGCGAGCTTCATGACAGAGTGGGGGTTTGAACCTCAGCCTCCCAGATCCTAAAGTGACACTGCACGAGACTAGCTCTGTGCAGAGGGAAGTTTTGGGATTAGCTGAAGAGGAGAAATCCTCAGTTAGGGCTATCAGCTTGAGCTCCTGGATAGCTAAGTAAAGTCCTCATTCCTGGTAGAAAAAGCGAATGCCTGTGGGGGCCACAATCAAAAAGTTTTATTTCTCTTCCTGGTTCTCTTTAGGGCACAGTCCGGTGAAAGTTTTAGGCAAACTGTCAAGGTCAGTTGTGAGGTGACATGCTTTAGGGAGCGAACACCCCAGCTCCATCCACAGAATTTTAAATTTCTTCAGCCAAATTAGTGCTTGCCTCAAATATTTCAGTACAGATTCTGTTGATGTAGCTTTCTTGGAATGCTTTGCAACTGTTTTGAAATTCACAGCTACAGTGTCCCTTCTCCTGTCCCCTTCATCCTAACCCCAAATAGTGAGTTCAGTTTTGTGGACAGCAGACTGATGTTTGTAACTGAGTGGGTCTTTTGGTCACAGCACTTGTGCAAGGTTCATGAAAGCAACGGTGTGCAGTGCTGCTTGGTTGTGCTCAAGATGTAGTGCAGCTTTCAATGGCGTGTGTGCAGGGCACTTGAAGTATCACCTGCTCGCCTTTGAACCTACTTGAGTAGTGGACCCTTCATCAGAGGCTGAGGTCAAGGCTAGCTACCATCCAAAGTGCCGTGGGAGTGATTCCCAAAATACGCTTTTCAGTAGCAGTGCAGAGTCTTTGGAATATCTTTCATGCTGCTATATGCTTGGCACCTAGCCTCTTTAGTTTCAGGTCCCAGGCTAAGACTTTTATGTTTATCCTGGCCTTTGGCTAGTTGGTGTGTGCGTGTGTGAACATGCTTTGTATTTGAAGTTGTTGCTCATTTTGAAGATTTTAGTTCTGATATGGTGATGTGCTGCCTTAATGAATGGCTTAAAGCTTTTTTTGCATACTGTTAATGCTTTTCATTGCAAGCTCCCTTAAAAGCCTATAACTAATGGAAGAGAAGTTTTAAAATAAATAAGAACAGAGACACTTTAATACAATAACTATATAAAGGCTGTGGTCACACGGAACATTAGCCACGCAAGAGAGATGGAAGACAGGCAGATTTTCCGGGCGTGATCTCACCGGCACATCTGGGAAGCATAGCGCTTCCGTGGCACAACCGAGGCTTCCCGCTGAAAACGCGCAGCAAAAAACTAGTACCTCGGAGGTACTAGTTTCCGGAAACCGCAGGGCAAGGGCGGGCGTCTGATCGCGTTTCCAGTGGCATCCGGCGCCCGCCCATGTCCCCTTACGAAAAAGGTTTTTTTCCCCCCAAGTCTCCGTGGATGCGCACACGCACCCAATGGAGCATGC